ACAATCTAAAATATTCGTCAATTATTTTACATCGCATGAAAAATTAATTTTCTTAGTATAAACACGTTGAAAATGTCAAATCGCTATAATTAAATATTGTTCAATCCAAATCATTTAGCATTACTTAATTAGCTTTAGATTATGAAGCACGCTTTTAGCCTCCTAGTCAGACGGATGGTGCCAACTACTGATTTTCCCAATTTAACCCTTGATCTAAAATCAACAGTTCTATAATCTTAATTTCAATACATTCACACAGTCACTTTGGCCTCATAAAACTTGACCCATTGACTTTTTATTTTAACAAATGATGAAATACGGAATTGACTTCACTACAGTGAAATATTACTATTTTTATTATTTTTTATTTGATATGAATCATTTTAAAATAATAAGAAATAATAATAGTAATCTATTATTATTCAAGTCTCACGCGTTAGATAAATAAGTTTTTAATATAAACTTAAATTCAACTTGTTTACTTAATTACAAACAAATGAGAATCAAGGTTTTTGATGCATCGAGCCCAAACTCATTCATGAACATTGGACTCATTGAAATCACAATTTCAATTTCAGTACCTCATCATAAAGCTAGGTGAATGACTATATTTAATGATATTAGTTATTTATTATTAAATTTAAATTTATATATAGATGTTTAGATAGTGTAATTGATTAAATTTAAATTTATATGTAGATGTTTCGATAGTTTAATTGGTTAATATTTTCGGCAGATTTTGGAGTATCAGACTTTGACTCTCTAACTTCTAACACATTTTACTTTGAAAAAAAAAAAAAAAAAAATCATTAAATTTACATATATTAATTATAAATCTTATAATTAGACGTGTCAATAAATTCGCTTTCAATCTAAATAAAAAATAATTTAAATATAAATTAAAATATTTAATATAATAATTCGCTGAGTCATTCCATTCATGACCTGCATGAAACAATAGAAGAGATAGTGTCACATAATTTACCTATTTCGTTTATTAAATTTTGTTAAGGTGACGATGATGATGCAGGCATGTTATAATAACGGTTTAGTGTGACCTTTTCAATACTATAATATAAAATAACAACAATGTTTCATGTGCATTGTTTGGAATTTGGACTTTGTACAACCTCAACTTTATCACATCGTTAGCAACTGTATTTTCACTTCGGATCAAATTTTCATTCATATGAGACCTGGTTACATTACGTGACTTTGCCTTGTTGTCGTCTTTTCATTATACTTTACATATTTAGTAATAAACATTATTATTGAACTAAAAGACATGAATGCTAGTCATGATTTTTCATTCATATATACAGTAAGAATTAAATAAATGTGTGTACAATGTACTGGTACTCGGCTGGTCAGAAACCCCACACGTGACTTGCTTGTTGTAGGCATTGTTCCGCACGTGGCAATCTGACCATCTGTCTCTGTCTTCTACCTCAAAATAGTGAAACAGACTCAACTGGGGGCTCCACACCAATTTTTCCGAGTTAACACATTATATGATCCCAATTAGTAAATGCCACGTCATTTTTTAAAACCACTTCATTATAGAATAGCAAAAGAGTTCATTAACTTGAGAAGGTGATTGGGCAGTTCAATAGAAGTCCCTTGTATAATAGCTTTCACCTTTTGCCTTTTTTACTATTTATCTTTTGACTGCCAATATCATCTTCCATTAAATCTTAAGCATCCTTGAGGGACAAGTTTGTCGTGAAAATAGCTTCCTAATTTGTACCCTTTTATTCCTAATATCATGTTTTAAGTAATTTTTACTATTTTACGTGGTACGCTCGTGATCCTTTAGTCTCTTGTAATGAGAAAACTCTCTTAATAATATTATTGGACCATTAAATTATGAATTATGTTTCATTTTTTCATGATTAAAAAAGTATAAACACTTTTCCTAGAATTGTGGTGACGGTGTTAGATAGGTGTGACGTACGACTTAAACACATGTTAGACACAATTAGAAAGAACATGTTTGAAAAACTTCGGGAGATGGTGAGATAGTTTTGTGATTACTTAGAGAATGTCATTCCAATGCATTTTTTAAAAATATATTTTGAATTGATTAAAATATAATATAAAATTTTAGGGGAAAAAAACACAACAGATGTATAATTCTAAGTTTAAACTTAGAATTTCATTTGAAACAATGCGGATAGGATTAATTAAAAAAATATTAATTTTTATTTATACATAATAAAGAAATTGTACTACGACTATTATTTGTTGAGGTACTCGTGTATTAGGGAAATTAAAACTCTTCAACGCACACAAGGAGCGGCTATTCTTGAATCTTAAATTCCTCATTCATCACAAGCAATATCATCACATCACATCAACACAACACAAACATATATTATCACATCACTTCAATACAAAAATTTATGGAGATAACAAATATACACATCATCCACGCACAACACAATATTTTACGTAATTAATCAAATTCTAATGCTACATTCATGGAGAAAGTTTTTCACTATTATGAATTAATGAATATAACATACAATCAGATCTCAAAACCCTACTCATTCTCACTCTCACTCGTGAGTCTACATCTCTTCACTTGTACCCTTTTGTTCCTCGTATCACGTTTTAAGTAATTTTTACTGTTTTACTTAGTATGCTCGTGACACTAGCCTCTTGTAATGAGAGAGATCTCTTAGTAACATTATTTGATGATTAAATCATGAATTGTGTTTCTTTTTTTTCATAGTTTAAAAAGTATGGACATTTTTCTTAGAATTGTTTTGAAGGTATTAGACAGGTGTGACGTACGACTTAAACAGATATTGGATACAATTAGAAGGAACGTGTTTGAAAAACTTCCGGACTTGGTGAGATAGTTTTGTGATTACTTAGAGAATGTCGTTCCAATGCATTTTTTTTAAAATATATTTTGAATTGATTAAAATATAATATAAAATTTTAGGGAAAAAAAAAAACACAACGGATATATAATTCTAAGTTTAAACTTAGAATTTCATTTGAAACAATGCGGACAGGATTAATTAAAAAAATATTAATTTTTATTCATTTGAAATAACGCGGACAAATATTATTTGTTGAGGTACTCGTATATTAGGGAAATTAAAACTTTTCAACGAAATTAAAATTCTTCAACAGACTCAAAGAGAGGCTATTCTTGAAACTTAAATTTCTCGTTCATCACAAACGATATCATCACATCACATCACATCAACACAACACAAACATATATTATCACATTACATCAATACAAAAATTTATGGAGATAACAAATATACACATTTAGATAACACAATATTTTACGTAATTGAGCAAATTCTAATGTTACGTCCATGGAGAGAGATTTTCACTGTTATGAATTAATAAAGAGAACATACAATCAGATCTCAAAATCCTACTCACTCTCACTCATGAGTCTACATCTCTTCACTTGACCTAATTTTTTGTTGGACAATAATTTTCACCTTGTCTATAACGAGTTATCATATCAATTACGAGTAGCTTCTATTTCCTAAGTCTTGTGATTTTAAAAACTGATTAGAAAACTATTAAATTAGACCCGTTCAATAAAAGTTGGATCGATTCAACTTTTCCGGTAATCAAAAATAATTCTAGTTCAAAAATATTACAATGGGCCAACTCTTTTAAGATAATACAAATATATATTTCAAGCCACAAAACCCAATATCATTTTCTATTTTTTTTATTTTAAAATTTATTGCATGAACATATCTGTATTGTATCGAACCCGAATTCCTTTATGCTACGTTTGGTGTGCAGAAATGGAATGGAATGGAATGCCCATTCCAACCATTCTTTTATTTGGTGTGTAGGAATTGAATGGAATGGCCATTCCATTGGAATGAAAATCTATTCCACAACTAAACATATGAAATGGCCATTCCATTCCCAAGTAATTTATTTTAAAAAATCGACTTCCCAAAACACTCTTATATTCCAAGTCTAAAAACCACCATTACCTTTCACCACAATCATCTCCGCCTTTCACCACCACCACCACTACCACTGCCTTCCACCACAACTGACTTTCACCATTGCCCACCACTTTCCATCACCACCGCCTTTCACCACCGCCACCGCCACCGCCTTTCACCACCGCCACTGCCACCATTTATTTTTAAAAAATTATTAGAGAATATCATTTTGTTATTTTAATTTATTTGTTATTAAGAGGGATATTTTGGAGAATTTAATTAGAAATTTATTCCATTCTAAATTTTAAATTGGTCTAACTAAACACTAGAATGATTATTATCATTCTATTCCTACACATTTCATATTTTCAACCAAACAATAGAATGAGAATGATCATTCCATTCTCATTCCATTCCCACTTGTATTCCATTCCATTCCTACACACCAAACATAACATTACTCTTTTTGATTTGGAATGACAATTTCCTCCGACCCAACAAATTTTCATCCCGCCCCTAGTAGGATAGATTTGAAACGAATATGATAAAATAATTAAAAATTCGAAACGGGTTTAAAATGGAGGTGAATTTAGTAATGAACCTGTCTTGATTTTATACTTTTAAAATTTATCTATATATATATATATATATATATATATAATATTTAATATTTTTAAGACTGTTGTGACTTTGATTGAAGCATTCCTTAATGATAGTATATAACACGAAGAGTTAAAAAATTGAAGTATATAACATGAGAGTTAAAAGTATATAACATGAGAGTTAAAAAATTAAAAACTCATATGGTGATTTTTCAACCAAATACGACCTAGTTAGACTGTTCACTGAATCCACATCCCAATTTCACGATCAACGAATAAGATGGTGCCACGTAACGCGTCAAACCCTACGACCTCGCGTCGCCACCGCGCGATCTAACACCGACTACGAAACCCACAATCATCATCCATATACGAAACCATTCTTCCACCGGCTACAGCCGGTCCCGTAGGGTTATCCACCGCTGCAGCCGGTCATCACACCCTTTAATTCCCGCTAGGTATATAAATTCCTTTTTCTGCGATTTAGTTCCGAATAACTAGTCACCAAAAATTTCTTTCACTAGCTCGCTTTTTCGAGGTTAGTAGTAGCTCTCAACTCTCTATTTTCTATCATTGTTTTTTATATTTATATTTATATTTATTTTTGTTAATTTCATTGTCTCGATCAACCTCTTGTAACTGTGAAAGTTCCCATTTTTTTATAATTTATATTCTGTATTTTCTTTTTCCGTTTATTTATTTCTTCGATCTTTCAGTTGTACGCATTACGTAATCTTAAATTGATGTGAAGTTGCACTTCACACTGAGTTTTAGCTTTTGGTGTTGTAGATGTAAGTATAATTGTGTATTGGATTCGAAAAGTTTCGTGCTTGATCGCTTTTCGCGATTCTCGATTTTTATTTTTATTTTTATTTTAATGAAAGTTTAGGTTTTGATTTGTCTAAAAATTGAATTACTTCTCGTTATAGAAATCATGGGTTTTGCTGAGTGTAAATTTTTTGTTGTGATTAGCTAAATCAAGAATTAGGGTTTTGTAAATTAAATCAGGGATTTAACAGTTTGCGTATGGAATGAATATCTATGGGGCTAATTTTGTGTCTGTAGTTGATTTTCAGTTCTGATTTATGTACTGGGTCTGTTAGGTGTGGTCTTGGGCGTCCTTTAAACTTGGTCTTTTTACCTGCTAATGTTTCTACGTTGTTTTTCCAGTGAGGTTTGGATCTGCAACAATTTTTTGGAAGATCACAAGGGAAATCGATCCAGTCACTGAAGAATTTGTGGATTTATTGTTTTCTTGTGTTGATCAGTGATCAGTGAGACGATTCATACAACAGACACGTTCTGACTCTGTATGTCGTTGAAGGAGCAGGGATAATTATATCAGTTCTTGTTCTCTGAGACTATGGATTTGTATATCTTGGGGTTTCTGGTTTAGATTAATTTGTTGTGCTCCATTGCGGGGTTTGAGGGCATTATTTTAGTAATAAATCTATAAGGGTTGTCTCTGGATAGCTATTTAGATAATTAGATTCTGATCACAAGGTGGTGGTGGTGCTGCCCATGGTGCTTTCTCGAGTGACTGGGGGGTTAGCACATTCTTCTTCTAGTTCTGGCATCTTTTTCCAGGGAGATGGGCAGTCCCAAGCTGTTGGAAACTCTCACTTAAGTTCGTCTTTTGGAAATTCTTCGGCATCAGTTCCTGGAACTGCACGATCTAACCTTGGTCCGGTGTCTGGTGATGTGAGTAATACCATCTTGAACAGTGTGGCGAGCTCAGGGCCAAGTGTTGGGGCTAGTTCATTAGTTACAGATGCCAACTCTGGACTTTCAGGAGGTCCTCATCTTCAGAGAAGTGCCAGCTTTAATACAGATTCTTACATGCGCCTACCTGCATCGCCCATGTCATTCTCATCCAATAATATAAGCATTTCGGGTTCATCTGTTATGGACGGACCTGTGGTGCAGCAGAGCTCCAATCAAGACCCAATCTCCCAACAAGCCCAGCAGCAGCAAGGTGCTTCAAATGCTTCGTCCTTGCCCACATCACGAATGGGCCAAGTTTCAATTCGCAATGGCCAACGGGGTCCTGGATCCTTCATTCAGGAGCCAGATAATATGTCCCAAGCGCAGAAGAAACCCCGACTTGATATCAAGCAGGAAGATATTCTGCAACAGCAGGTTATGCAACAGTTGTTGCAGAGACAGGACTCCATGCAGTTGCAGAGACAGGACTCGATGCAATTGCAGAGACAGGACTCGATGCAGCTGCAGAGACAGGACTCCTTGCAGCTGCAGAGACAGGACTCGATGCAGCTTCAGAGACAGGACTCCATGCAGCTGCAGAGACAGGACTCCATGCAGTTGCAGACCCACAATCCTCAGTTGCAAGCTTTACTTCAGCAGCAGAGACTAAGGCAACAACAGCAACAACTTCTGCAGTCTATGCCACAAGTGCAGCGAGCTCAGTTGCTGCAGCAACAGCACTTGCGACAACAACTTCAACAACAAGCCGTGCAGCCTGTATCTGCCATGAAGCGCCCCTATGATGGTGGTGTCTGTTCTCGTAGGCTAATGCAATACCTTTATCATCAGCGGCAGCGGCCACCTGTGAGTGGATATCTTACTAGAATCACTTGTTTTTCTTAGTAATTTTTTCTTTCTTCCACTTTATACGGAATTTCCCCCTCTTCTTGTTTTTATTAGATATTCACTAACAGTCCATTAACGGCCTTTATATTAATCACATTTCTGAATTCAATTCCATCTGAAGCTCCAACATTGGTATAACACTGTTTTTATTATTATTTTTTGGTAAGTATTGGTCTAACACTGTCATGGCATTCTTTATTGTGATAGGATAATACCATTGCCTATTGGAGGAAGTTTGTGGCAGAATATTATTCCCCACGCGCAAAGAAAAGGTGGTGCTTGTCTTTATATGATAATGTTGGGCATCATTCACTAGGTGTTTTCCCCCAGGCAACTATGGTCAGTTTAAGTTTTCGATTTATTGTTTTTATAAATTATAGAAAAATATTTAATATAGTATACATAAATTAAACTTTCAATTTATGTGATTGAATATATGCAGATATTCATTCTAATTCATTACATTGGGTTAATTTCTGATCTATATTTACACTGCCTTGTTTTATGCAATTCTTTCATATTTTTCTGGGATGATATTTCTCACAAGCAAATTTATTAGATTTTCTTTCCTTCCTTTTTGGTCAGGATGTGTGGCAATGTGACATTTGTGGTTCAAAATCTGGCAGGGGATTTGGTAAGCGAATTAGAATTTTATTTACTGTTGTATGTTATGGTCTGGTGTATTTATATTCTCTTGTGACTTTTTGCAATGCTTGTCCATTTTATTATGATTATACTACTGATTAATCGGGAAAAAGCTCTTCGGATTGCTTCTGCTTTATATTACTGCTATATCTTGTGCTTGTTTTGTGTAGGTTAACTTGTAAGACATTCTCGAGTCTAATAGGAGATGGTGGGAAAAAATAAGAGGGTTTTTTAATCAATGTTTGTTAGCCTTCTGATAAGAGAGTTGTCCGAGAATTACCCTTGGGAGTTGACAGTTGGTTCTTAGATATACGTGTGTCACATATCCTTCTCATTTCAGGCATGAAATAAATTATTTCATTCCAACAACTTGATTGATTCAATCTTGGTATTGGATTTGTTTAAATTAAGAAAAGCACGTGGGATATCTATACAATATTGGATTCATTCTATGGAGCTTTGAATGGTTATTGTGATAAATAGATGTTTTGCTAGCTTTAAACTTGTCATACCCTTGCATAACGACACGGGTAGTGATCACAATAGCAAGGCCATAATCTCACCAATTACATTAAAACATGAAACAGATCTTGATGACGTGAATAAATATAAATTCTTTGTATTCTTCACAAATATATAGATCTTAATGGAAATTTTCATTCTTCACTTTTTAGATGATATGAACTTTTTTGAATAAAAAACAATATTTTTGATAGGTTTCAATATGACACTGGCACAAATGGTTGGCAACTTAGTTATGTGCCATAAGATGATTAGTTTGTATTGGTTTTGAATCATCACACTGAGCGAATTTGTGCCAGGTTGAAGTTCAGTCTTTAGGATCTAGAACCTCAATGATTCAGTTTCTAGATTATTTTTATAGTTTATTGTGAAACAACTATGGGTTGTATTTACTAGTAAGGAATGCTTAGGGTCCAATATATGGCATTCCCCTTAGATCATAGTTCTCCGTATCAGCCGACGAGCCAGTGCACCTGATGGTGTGCATGTTCGATGAGATTTCATGACAACGATAACCGCTTATGTTATGTTACACCTGATACAGCTTTGTGTCCGTTATCGCATCTGTGTCGTCAAACAATGCTCTAGATATGCTCTACTCTTGTGAAAGTTGTCATCATATACCCACAAAAAAAAAAAAAAATCTATCTGTTCTAATTTATTTTATTCCTTTTCTTTTGTTGGGATTATTTACAGAGGCAACTTTTGAAGTACTCCCAAGACTTAATGAAATCAAATTTGGCAGTGGTGTCATAGACGAACTTCTGTTTCTGGACTTGCCCCGTGAATGTAGATTCCCTTCTGGAATAATGATGTTAGAGTATGGAAAAGCTGTTCAAGAAACTGTATATGAGCAACTTCGTGTTGTTCGTGAGGGCCAGCTTCGTATCATATTCACACCTGATTTGAAGGTTAATGAAATAATTTTTTATACAGAAGTATTTTCAATTTTTCTCTATTCTCTTAAACAAAATGTTAAAACTTCTGCCTATACATGTTTCAGATATTGTCTTGGGAATTTTGTGCACGGCGCCATGAAGAACTTCTTCCTCGTAGATTGGTTGCACCACAGGTACAAAATCTGCATTCTTCCTGTCTCTTGCTTGAACTTGATTTTTATATATAGTAAATGATTTATATATATTATTGAAATATATTAATTTTATCAATTACCATCATTATATTTGCTGGGGTGTAGTTATCTTATGCATTTTTATATTTTGGAGCAGTTTATTCTTTTTTCTTTCTTTAACCATTTATTGGATCAAAAAGATGAGGTGTACCATGGAAGAATCTTTCTGAAATTTGAATGCAAGAACAACTATGAGAGTACAATGAAAATGATAAATGTTGAGTGAAATGAAACCCTTCTCTAATAATTTTCAATGAGATTACAAATGCTTCAAGAGACCAAAAAAAAAAAAAATAATGTCTCCATGTTTTGCGATATAAACACACCTGAGTTTTATCGAAACACAAACCTGATGGGTATAGACTGCAAAAATGTGAGAAACATGTTGGGTAAGGATTCTTGCTAATGAATTTGATAGAGAACTTGGTTTCATGAAGTCCAAAAATAAGTCTTGTGAAAATATATTACATATTTGGCAAACTATCTGAATTGTAACAGAAATATAAATGAGCTTTCTTAAAATATCAACATAAACTTTTACATATATCATCCCCTTATCCCTCACCTTTAATAATAATATATATATATATATATATTTATAGTTGATGGTGTCCCTGTCTTTTGTTTTGGTGGAGCTTGTTGTTGCGAGCCATGGGTGCGCCAGTGTGTTGCTGAGCTTGTCCTTGCTCCGTGTCTATAGATTTTAATGCTGTGTTTCTGCTTTGCTTTTATTAATTTTGTGTATTACTTTGCCTGCTCTTCCGAGCTTTGTCGCCCTATTTGGGTTGTTTTTGTTTCCCTAGGGGCTGGTTCCTTGGGTGGTCTTGTCCACCTTAAGCACCCTTTTATCTTGTACAGTTCTCCTTCAATACAACTTACTTGGGTGGACACAACATCTTCGGTTTCACAGCTCAACTATTTTTGTGCCACTTCATTTGATGAAGGGGATGGATTTTGACTATATAAGTTATAAAACAAAGAATATAGAATAACCACTTAGGATTAAGAAAACAAATGCTGTTTTTCAGATGCAAATTCCTTTATACATTAGTGTTGCTGTTTTGATGAACCGATGATTGAAATTTTTAACAAAATGACAAGTCTCGGAAGAAATGGTAATTATCTACCAAACCTACTTGAATAAAATTGTTCAAGTACCCATTATATTCCAGTAATGTATCTTCCTATCTGGAACATCTGTATATGCGTCTCGAAGGAGCTCATTTGATGCGATAAGTTTTTATAAAATAATGCATGTCATATTATGAAGCTATCCTGATTTCAAATTTGAACTAATCCAGTCATTTAACTTGTTCAAGACAGATAAAGAGAGCCTTTCAACATTTGTAACTTGAAATCATGAAACTTTATTTATTTATTTGTTTATTATTATTATTTTTTGGTGCAGGTGAATCAGCTGCTACAGGTTGCACAAAAATGCCAGAACACAATTGCTGAAGGTGGACCTGATGGGGTTCCTCAGCAGGATTTACAGACAAACAGTAATTTGTGAGTTAATTAGACAGTAGTAACTCATTTATTTATTTTGACTGCTTGTTATTTCCTTATTGTTCAGCCTTTTCCCTTTTTGGTTGAATTCTTTTAAAATCATAATTGATAATTTATATTCGAGCCGAATCTATTTAAGCTTCATCCCAGTTATTTGAGAACTTGTTTGGAATCTGCTAATTTTTGTTTTCTGTGATTGTCAAAAACTTTTGGATTAGGAACATTTTGTTTTACTAGATGCAGACAGATGTTTGATATCAAAATTGAAATCATGGGTTAGTGGAGCAACTGGAGTTGATGTCTTGCAAACCTCAGTTTTTTTTTTTTTTTTTTGGGTAAGTATCTTGCAAACGTCAGTCTTGAAGTAGTGACCTTCTTAGTCATAAGCATAGTTGTTAAAGGCGCGCCTAGGCTCCACAAAAGCCCTAGGCTCGTCAAGGCTCAGCTAGAGCGCCTCAACCTACTACAAGCCAGGCCCCTTCAATCAAGCTCACATAAAGCCCTCAAGCTCACACTTTTTAGTAGGCTCCAGGCTTTAAAAAGGCGCGCCTTGTATTTTCTAATAATTTATTCATATCATTTTCCTTTTTTACTTAATGACTACTAAATTAAAAGGTTCTATAGCATAAATCGTATTGTTTAACCTTATGAAATATTTGACAAAATTCATAAATTTATTGTTCACTACTAACATTAACTGCAACTATTGCTTGATTATGAATATATATAATAATATGTTGTTAAATATGCATTATTATATACACGCGCCTTACTTCGATTAGGCTCGCGCCTTATACTGTGCCTTGCGCTTAGGCTCCAGAAGGCCTTTGGCGTCTTGAGCCTTTAACAACTATGTTCATAAGTGTTACTTATCAAAAAACTACTTTGGTCATAAGTGATATATATATATATATATATATATATATATATTCCTGTCGGCTACATTAAAATATTGAGCAGTAGTTGCTCTTTATCCAAGAATTCCATATTTTGTCTATATCCCCAGACTCGGTCAAGGCTGCAGTTAAATGAATAATTTGTCTCAGCATTGATGAATGCTTCATATGGCGGTCATATTGGAAAGGATTAAGCTTCTTTTCAAATTAGTTTCTCCCTTTCATGTGGCATGATCCAGCTCTATCGAGCCCCCTGGGTAAAACAAACCCTATTTTGCATGCAACTATAGTGGGGCCAATGTGAACGTGTTCATTTGCCAACCAGATATTTTGTACTTACACAGAAAAGAGTTTTAGCATGGCCTTATTTGTTTCAATCTTCAGAAATAAACTGCATTTGGCAAATTAACTTGCAAGTCAAATTAGTTTGTCCCTTTCATGTGGCATTATCCAGCTCTATTGATTCCCTCGGGTAAAAGGAACCCTATTTTGTATGCAACTATTGGGGCGCCATTGTGAATGTGGTCATTTGCTAACTAGGTAATCTGAACTCCATTTTTGTGTTTGTCTGACCTGACAGTAGCTAGAGAAGATAGCTCGTGAAGCAAACTAACTTATAAGGCCATGCTAAAACTCTTTTCCTTCTCTAATTCAATTATGCTACTTCTAGTACGGTCGATTGGAATTGTCATTTTAGTTTTCCGTTCCCTTTTCACTGTTTCATAAGATAAACTAAGAATTGCAATGCCCATCCTTCTTTTTGAGTTAGGAAATTGTGCATGCCATTTTATCAAAGGGGGAAAAAAGGAAAGGAAAAAAGAAAGAAAAAGAAACAAGTTAGACAAAAGAAACTTCTATCAAACCAGTAGGAAGACCTCATACCCTGTGTTATCGTCTGTTATGTTCTTTTCTAATTAGGGGTGTAAAATAGGCGGAGTTCAAACTTGGCTTGACACAAAAAATTTTGGCCTCGTGCTGGCTCAACTGGGATCCTCCAATTATTTGAACCAGGCTGAAATGAAAAACCAAAGTCCAACTGAAGACTAGGACCAAAATCAAAGCCCATGACTGACCCTAGGTCCAGGGGCATCCTGGCCCATTGCCATCGACCAGGCTTAGGCCGGGCTAGGGCCTTATGGCCTTAGTTGGGTTGACTTGGGGGCCTTGGAAAAAGAATTGTTATTTTTTACTTTAAATTATTATTTTTCAATGTATTGTTAATAAAACTTAGAAATAAGTTCTACGTGTTAAGTTCATTCATTTTAATTTTTTTATGTTGACACAAGATCCAACATATGTGTGCTAATCAACAAAGAATACCATTTGTAATAATCCTAGCAGGTCATTGCCATAATCAGAATCCTTGCATAAACTAGTAGGCGACATCGGTACTATGCGGCATCAGTAAAGATTAATACCTATATATATATATATATATATATATATATATATATTTGATAGGTAAGGCATACATCACATGCCCTTAAAGGGGACTTGAACTCTCAATCTTCTGTTGTAGGAGGATATACCACTTGGAATATATGCCCTTCGCAGTTCTTCTTGTCCATTTTCACCGACTTGAGTTAAATCTTTTTAAATCACTATTGGACCTTTCTAAGGTATCTAATAACCCTTTTTTTCTATTCACCTACAGTAATTACAGCTCGACTTTTCTGTATATGTAGCAACAGCCTACCTATGTGCTCCAGTAAAGTAAATTGGAACATTAAAACTGAACTATGCCAAACATGCATGCCAGCTGCAGAGCATACACATAGCTGCAGCAGGTAGAAGAAATATGATGACAGAATCAACATGTGATAAGAGTATGATCAAGTGTATATTGAAGTTTTTTTCTCCAGTTACAGACTTGTAGTGTTAATGAGACAACCACTGCATGGAATCACATTTAGTGAGCACATATGTTGTCTTTGATTGTTTAAGTTCTTCCTCTTTTTGATGTTTCGACAACAATGGAATGCCAATTAGCATCCATCGATGAAGTATTCGAGGTCTTTTTGTTACTTTTAATTTATTTTTATTGAAACAGGTATTTTGAAAGAATCAGTATAAAGTCAATTCCATTCCAACATATAAATTAGTACCAAATGATTATTTAATGCCTGCAGCCAAGTAGTGGAGTGGGATGGCCATTATTTTTCCATATCATTTCCATTATATTTCACGCTGAATTATATTTTTGTTCCCTTGCATGTGTACATACCAAATCGTAGTCCAATAATTTTGTATGACTTTTATGCTAAAGTGAGCTTCGGTATCTTAACAATTATTCTGGCTCTAATAATTTGGCGGTTTTGAGGTTTATCTAATTTCTGTAAGCTATTGAAATCTGCATGTCATTTGGGTGAGATCAATGATTAGTCCTATTGGCGGATTTATCATAGTTCGAGAATAGGTTCGGTGTAATCTCGGCCTTTATATTGGGTAGCATTTACCTCATTACAGTGCGGTTGTGGCAAACTGATTTATATATTTACATTGATAATTTATTCCCTCTCAGGGTAATGACAGCTGGGCGTCATCTTGCTAGGACATTGGAGTTGCAGTCGCTGAATGACTTGGGCTTTTCAAAAAGATATGTCCGGTGTTTGCAGGTATATTTCTTCCTGTATATTGACATGCTTTCCAGGTGAAAAGATAATCAACTATTCTAGTTTTCTGTTTAGATTTATTACCTTTTTCCATTTTAACTTGTAACAGATATCTGAGGTTGTTAATAGCATGAAAGACTTGATGGATTTCTGCAGAGAGCAGAAAGTTGGGCCAATTGGTAACTTATTTGCTGTTGCTGTGGCTGTTACTGTTACTGTTACTGTTACTGTTACTGTTACTGTTACATGCTTCTCAACTGATATTATATCTACACCTTCTGGTAGTAGAGATAATATCAGTCGAATTTTCAGTTTTTTATATATGCAGTCCAAGGGGTAAAATAATAGAGAAACTATCTGAGAGGTTTATCTTTCTGTATTAAAAATGTATTTTCTTCTTCACCTACAAAAAAAATAATTATTCTTCTTTTCTGTAACAGCATTTTATTTGGGTAAACAGGGTTTTAAAATGCCTATAGATTTACTGTGCAGAGAATACTGTTACCTCAAATATTTTTCAGTTTTTCTGCCTGGATCTGATAACAGTACTCATTTGCAGATGGCTTGAAAAAATATCCTCGACATGCCACTGCAGCCAAGCTCCAGATGCAAAAGATGCAAGAAATGGAACAACTAGCAGGCATTCAGAGTATGCCAACCGATTACAACACTCTCAATAAGCTAATGGCATTGCATCCTGGATTAAACAGTCAAATGAGCAATAACCATCATATGGTTGGTAGAGGAGCTTTGAGTGGTTCGGCACAAGCTGCTTTACAACTGACTAACTACCAGAATCTTATGATGAGACAGAATTCGATGAATTCAAACTCTAATTCACTTCAACAGGAAGCATCATCTTCCTTCAATAATTCTAACCAGAATCCGTCTTCAGTGTTTCAAGGGCCCACTTCTGTACTGTCAGGAACATTGCAGAATTTACCAGTTAGCGGCTTCTCAAATCCCCAGTTACCCCAGCAACAGCAGCAGCAACAGCAACAACAGCAGCGTTCCTTGAGTGGTAATGGCATACACCAGCAGAACCACCCTCAGCAATCCCAAGGCAGCCAGGCTTTGCAACAGCACATGATCCAGCAACTGCTGCAGGATATGAGCAATAACAATGGTGGAGGGATGCAACAGCAGTCCCATGCTGGACAGAATGCGAATGGCAATGCGGGTAGAGATGGATTAGGATTTGTAAGCAACACAACAGCAGCGACTGTAGCCTCTGTTAATGGGCCAGGAAGTGTTAGTGGTCCCACACCAAGCAGAAGCAACAGTTTCAAAGCTACTTCCAACAGTGACTCCACTGCAGCTGGTGGCAACAACGGATTCAACCAGAAAGTACCAGATCTGCCCCAGAATCTTCATCTGTCCGAGGACATAGGTCATGATATAGCTCATGATTTTACGGAAAACGGGTTTTTTAACAGTGACTTTGACGATAATATGTGGGTTATGGGTGGAAGGCGCGACTGACATGATTTGGCCCTTTTATTGGCTTTCACTAGGTAAGTGTCTTGTACAGGTTATTTGGAAGGGCTTCCCTTTTACATCTCTCTCTCTCTCTCTCTCTGTCTGTCTATTTTTATTTTATTTTATTTTATTTGAATTATAGAGTTTGTTGTGATGTCAAGCACTTGTACTCCAGTAGGTTTTTAGTTTTTCCCCAACTTTTGGCTCTGCAAGTCTCTCAATTGTAATCTAGTGGACAAACTCTTGAACAGCTTCAGTTTCACATTAATATGGTTTTCACATCTTCCATTCCATGGTTTCCATATATGTGCATTTCGGGTTTCCATCTTTGTAGGCTTGAAACTATCCTATAATGCCATAGTATGAGAGTGCAGAGAAGAAAGAAGCAACGTTTTCGGAACTTTTTGAATATTATACAAGTTTGAAACTTCTATCAAGAAAAAACAATTTGCATCTCTTGCAAGTCTTGTAGATTTGAGAGAAGCCTTTCATTTTTTCCAGTCCCAAAATTATATGAACATTTATACGTGTATCATGTACAGATCATGATAAAAAGAAATGAGCTACGGTGTAACCTAAACCTATAGCCAAAAGCAACTACTGTTGTGATTAAGTAGTCCTTGGAAAATCTTTTAAGGAAATTCAACTCTTGCCACCTCACAAACTTGACCATGCGCATTGTGCATGGAAGAACTGATAATTTTTTCCCTCCCAGCAAACAAAAATAGGCATCCTCGGTACCACCACCATCAAGCCTTTTTCCAATTATTTGTGGTCGGCTGCATAAATCTTTATGTTTTCATTTCGCTTCGGAGTTGCTATTGCACATTTACAAGTAATGGACCATAAAATTGAAAAAAAGTAAAGGAAGAAGGTGTTTCATGTAAAAAGTACCCTTGTTACAATCACCATTCAGCTTGTATGTTGACAAAATTAGAACAAGAAACCTTTCCACAAAAGTAGAGAAAAAAAATTCATGTTCCACGCAACAGCTTTAAACTAAAAGTAACCCTAGCATTTACCTATTGACATTAAAGAAAAACTAGGGAAAAAAACAAAAAAAAAACCGCGGATATAGTAATTCTTGAACCACTTGCTGGTATCCTTGCGATGGAATTGTCCATAGATCAGTATTCATTCACCTCCACTTTGCAGACAGGGCAGGTCTGTATGAGAGAGAGAAAGAGAGAGATCAATGTATATTTCGAATAAAGAATTACTTTTCCGAAAATGTCATCATGGCTCTGATCCATTTTGAAGTGCTGAGATTGATCATGTTGGATCGATCGAACTTTGATTTGAGATCGATCGAAGATTTAGCAAAACTGATTGCATTTTAAACAATAGAGGTGATTTTTTCCATAAATTCGAACCATGAAAAAGACCAGCTTTAATTGTAAGAAACTAACAACTTGAGAAACTTCTGTAGTGCCTACATCTGACAACGCAGGTTACGATGCCAACTCATGCAACTGGAACAGCAAACTTTGTCACCTATTATCACAACTTTTCTTGGTGTTTGGACAAACCAGCAACATGAATGCCTCAGCAGTACTTAAAAAAAATACTTTTTGGAGAGCACGAAATTGAGACTTGAACAATAAAAATGCAGGGTTCTTTAACTGATTCTGATTGTTATAAAAGTTATGATGTGTTAAACTAGATTACAAATTCAAGCAAAGACTACAATTAATCTAATTGTATGATACTATACAACAACCAATTACGGCAACTGTAAAGACTAGAGAGATAGTATGGTGATTAGAACAAAAGTAGCACAAAGGGAAAGTATATCTAACCTTATTGATCTTCAACCAATGTGTAATGCATTTTGAATGATATTGATGTGCACAAGGCAAAGTGATCAAATAATCCCCGCTTTTGTACTGTGTGAAACATATCACACACCTAGTATAGACAAGTCAGAAGAAAGAATTAGTAAAACAAAATAATGTATTTTTCAAATAATGCAATAAGTAAATCCTATTATTTCGGGAAAAATTGCAGTCATACACTTCTTAGATCACATATTTTGCAAATAATGCAACAGTTTAATCCTTTTGTTTTGGGACATTGTAGTCAGACATTTCCTTAGGTTATTCATGGATGACTATAAAGTTACCGAAAAACAACTTCCACATCAATATAGAAGGAATCCTCATGAAGATAAAACTTTGACTCTTGAACTATGGGTGTCCCCTTTATCATAAAAGGAAGCAACTAAATCAGTGTTAATGATTTCCATAGAATCAGATTATGCATGCTTAATCACATTCTGAATTTCTAATACACTTTAAGTCAACTCAAAACCTAACATGAGTCTACTAAACTATGACTCAACAAGAACTCATCTTGATCGAATATCAGTAATGAATACATGAAGTCAGATGTCTGACTTCCTATATATTTGTACAAGTTTGTCATGATTTACACCCAAAAAGACTTCAAATCATAGAGTTAAAGATAATCTGATACAGTAGTATATAGCGTTGGCAGCAACAAAAGTAGAAAACCCTCTTATCCTCATATAGTAGTATAGGAAAATGCTAATAATCATTTTCGTGGAAAAACATGATTAGAATCATTGATTCTACTAACCAGAGTCCTCTGTATTGGTATAGATGATAGTATTGATTTTAGGTTGTGAATGCCAAGCCAAGCCGAGGAGTTGGTTCGAGCTTGGCTTAGTCATTCAACAAGAGTGTTCAGGCTCGTATAATTGTCTAATACATACAAACAGTGTTATAATATAGAATTTTTTTAGAATAATGGGATCTTACTCCTCTTTTTTCTTTTTCTTTGAGAACAACCCTGTTTTGTACTTGAAATATGGCAATCTCGAGATCAGCTCTTCTGACAATCCTTTGCTCTCAGAACCAATGGAATCCCCCAATGATTGCAATTGCTAACATGGTAAAACAGTCATGAAGTTAAATTGATATGGATGAAAATACATAGCTGCACAAAAACAGCGCGGATGAGTCCTGTCAGATGGTTTAAAAGTCCAAAACAAATTTGGAAACACCAATTTCCTTTGAGCTTTACTAGTATTTGGAGGAACAAACCATTATAAAGAACAATTTATTAGCAAAGGGGAAGTAGTCATGACAACTATAATAAAATTGAAATAAAGTCATTTCTAGAAATCCTTAAGATAATCCCTATCTATGGTCTTAGCTCAATCAGTCGGCTGCAATGTACTTTATGGTCCCAAAGGATTAATTTAGAAATTGAAGGAAGAAAAATTGTCATAGTTTGTGTGCACAGTCACATGTTTTACAATAGACAAGTTCCAATAAGAATTTCAAAGCACATTATGCAAAAGATTGGAACCTACCTCATAAGTCATTCCATCTGGATCAATGTCATCTTGCCTCACATCTGGACTCCCAGACTACATTTAAGCATAGAAATCCAGTCTCATAAATGAATTATAAATCTTCAGATGTAAGAAACATTAAGGAAAGTGATAAAAAGTTGTAGAGATACCCTGACAGGAGTTCCTATAGAGCTACTGGGAGTTCCTATAGAACTAACTCCTGTATTCCCTGCAAAATATGTGAAAATAGGTTATTTTCCATGTTGTAAACGTAATTGATTTGTCTGAAGAAATAGTGTGTGTGTAAGTTTGCCTTTTATTAATAACATGAAACAATTCAATGTGGAAAAGAAAAATTCAATTTGCTGAAGTTGAAAATCTCATTCATGGTTCTATTGGCTTCCAAAAATATGCACAATATGACTTGAAATGAAATTCCCAGCAGAAATTTCTAAAAAAAGAAAAAAAGAAATGATGCAGTAGATGTTTAGATTTATTAACATCTATTATCCTCAAATAGGAATCTTTCGTTCCCCAGATACATTCCGCGGCCAATTCAGTACCATATTTCACATATGAATGAGAGTCCTAAAGCCAAGGAAGTGACAAGATCCAATAATATATAGTATTATAGTTAACAGGTCCAAAATTATGAAGTCTCTAAAAGACCCCATACATTAAAAATCAATATGGAATAAAATTTTTAGAGCAGATGATGAGATGAGATCCAACAGTATATACACAAAAACCTGAGCAATCACCAAAAGTTGTCGGATAGTTGCCCATGCAGTACAAATGTAATGGCATATGCATCAACGTAAGATCAATAGCTAGATTCTTCATGTCATGTTATTCATCTATGAACTATGAAGGACTAGCATATGATGATGTAGGCTCATTTTGCTTTTGCACCAACTGGCAAATGGTAGAACAAGGCAGCATGTGATTTGGCTGCTCAGTTCAGGTAGTGTTTTGCAGTGTATGATTCTCTTTCCAGCAAACCAGTTCCAATGCCATAACTAAAATATTAGGACATGGACCCAGAGGATGGCTATGGAAAAACTTTTATGCTTTTACATTCCAGATTTATAATCGTTATCCAAGTTAGCAATATGATTATGGTTGCCAGTTGCAGTGCTTAGTACTACTAGTTCGTTAGGCCACATCAACACCTATGTGGATCGTTCCACATCCCTCTACAGGAAACCACGTCCATAAAAGTAGGGAAGAGGAACTCCATAAACAATCCAATTTTCTGAAAAGATAAAACTACAGTATATTAAGAACAGCAAAGCCAAATAAGAGAGAGGTCCGGTAGATTTTCTATTATGGTTTACTGCCACTGCAACATGGCTCACTGCCACTGCAAATCGTGTCGAAAATGTGAGAACATTTGTATTTTTCAGAAATTGTGAGTGTGTTGGGGGAAAAAGAGCTACAATGCAATTACAATGGACCTAAGCAAACTACAACATGGCAGTTATCTTTGAATCCTAGGAGCCAAATTATTTGGATTGTCAATTGACTCACAACACAGTAGGTTGAGAAATGAACCGAAGGAGCCAGCAAAACTAATTGGCAAAGTTACTAGGTACTAGGTAGATGCACTGGGAGACCTGAGATCACAGTTTAGGGGGAAGGGGGAAGGAGAAAGAGAAGAAAAAAGAAGCAGCCAGATAAAATTTGTACAAAAGATTGTTTTTCTACCGGCTGTGTTATCAATGGGTTCAGATGTGTACAAATCACTGAAGTTGTCCCCCAAGTCCTGCAAGGATCTAGCAAGAGCTTCATCCAAAGCTAATTGTGATTCAACACTTCTACAGCTTCTTCCCCTTGAAGATTCACCCTCTTGGCCTGAGAATTGACTCCAGTCACTACTTTGGCCTACATCAGAGGTACTACCCTTGTTCCTCTCATTTCCTTGAAGTGACTGATAAACACTTACCTGAAACATAATTGGAAAATAATAGAATTACCTTTCTCACAGTAAAAATTAAGAGCAAGATTGTCCGATGGAACCAAAATCCTTAACTTTTCAGTACCTGCTGTTCAAGAACTTCTTCATAAGTAAGATCACCGTGTTCAGGAAAAAGTTCTTTAAAATTCTTCACAATTTCGGGTGAGAATTGAGCAACTATATATTGGTCATGCACTTCTTCGGTTGTCATTGTGACTGTTTCAGTCAATCACATGAAACAAGTAGCGGACCAGAAAATTTTGAAGAGAACCTTTTCCTTCGATGCTTCCTAGAATATCATACATCAGTCAATCACAAAACATTTACTAAAAGCGGAAAAAGAATTTGAAGAAATTTAAAATTCATGAAACAAATAGCAGACCAGAAAATTTTGAAGAGAACCTTTTCCTTCTATGCTTCCTAGAATATCATACATCAGTCAATCACAAAACATTTACTAAAAGCAGAAAAAGAATTTGAAGAAATTCAAAATTCATGAAACAAATAGCAGACCATAAAAATATCAATACCTAATGACTTCAAGAATTAAATCTGAATATCTCCATCTTCCTCCTTAGACTAATAGATTGACTGGTCTGCATATGGAAATGGCCATTACTTATCATTATCTTTCTCACTTGCTGATGCAGACATTAATATGAATGTAAATTTCTTAACCCCGTGAAGAGATCTTAATGCATTATGCATTAATATATTATAAGGAATTTAATTTGTCAATTGAAACTAAAATTACAATTTAAAACACAAGTTTCAGAATTCAAAATTAATTTTGTTTTCCTCCAAATGATTTGTTCCTGGTCATCGATCCTATTACACAGACTAATGCAGGTGCTAAAGAAAATGAAAATTAAATATAACTCTTAAGGCATAAAGAGGTGCTAGAATTCATTTATGATAAGTGAAGACATATTATGGTTTATTGCGAAGGAGATACTAATTTTTTTTTAATAAAAAAAAAAGAAAGAAAAAATGTCAATTACAAAGCAAGAACTAACCATGACAATTGAAAACAAAAGATTCTCGAAGAACAAGACATCACACTTCCTAATCGTTTATTTCCTACGTGGGAAGCAAACAATTGCACAGGATTAGAGAAAATTAAGATAAGGAGGACCATAATAGATATAAATTAACTAGAATTTTCAACTTCAAATATCATAAAGAAGAAGAAATCGTAAAGGCATCACCATCAAATCACTGTTTAATGCAAACTTCCATGACAATTAGGGTCATTGTTGATTGTTCATTACAATAAATCAAACATAAATAAAAGATTTGATATACACATGAGGCATGAAAATTTCTGCAAATATATATATATATATATATATGAATAGATTTTCTATAATTGCAACAGAAAAAGGGGAAACAAAAAGGCTTTGGCGATTGATTCTTTCCATTAGATAGATAAGAAGAATTATAAGGGCCTTCATGAAGATTATGAATCGTGTTCATCATCTTTAAATTCAGAATCAGGAAGCTAATTAATATTTAATTCTCTATTTGTTGAAGATTAGGGTCAGTTCTTAGAAGATTGACTGGGTCAAGATAGTTATGACTTAGTACTGTCCTTTGTCTCAGACACTAATGTAGACATTGAAGTACTAAAAAAAAGTCTAAAATATTCAATACACCCATGAACTTATGAGAGGTCTCTTAAAAGATTTTGCAGAAAACACAGTACTGAAAAAGAAGATCATTCTTGATTCGAAACCTGAATATGGGCCATTAAAAACATATTATTTTTCTAATTTAAAGAGAATCAAAATGGGTTATTGAATTGATGATCTGAAAATCAAAATATGGAGATAAAAAAAAAAGGGGTGAGAAGTACCTTTGAATGAGATGGGTTCTTCACACAGTACTGTGTCCCTCTTTAGTCCTCACTCTGGAAAGAGAGGCAGATAAATTATCATTTGTTTGTTTGTTTGTCTTCGAAGCTGGTGGGAGAGTAACTGTGGGTCCACTTTGACCTTTTTTTTCAAAAAATGTCTGGATGCAATAAATGGTGGATACATCCCCATGAGGAACCAAAGAAGGTACCATCATCTACATCCTCAGGCCACAGCACTCTGTTCAATCCTCTTATTTTTTTACTAAAATCTAAAGTAAATTCTGTAAGTGATATTCATCGATTCGGAAAACTGTTACTTCTAACTCTGTCTGACAGATGTTTAATACACACGCACGATAAACATTCATATGTATCCAACACGACCAATGTTATGCTTGAAAGTTTTGAATCTATAGTTTTGAATTCAGTAATAGAGGAAGTTTATTTTAAAATTTGTATTAAAAAATTGTCAATTTGAAATTTAAGGACATAGACCACCAAACATAATATAAGAGTAATTAAAATTTAAATATTGTTGTGATGTAGAGGTCACGTGTTATGTAAAGGTTTAGGAATGGACCTAAAATATTAGGTTAGGGCAACTCCAATGCTCTTTCATTTGGACCTCTCAAACTCAAAATATGAGAGTTATGGCAGCTGCTAAATTTTTTTGGCAAGTCTCTCATTTTCCAAAATGGTGCCGTTTCTACCCGTCATTATCCACTCGCATCTTTGTAGGTATAATATATAATATATTATATATATAATATACATATATATATATTATATACTATATATAAATTTTTGAAAAAAAAAATTATATAAAAAAATTAATTCACAAATTGTGGTAAAAAAAATTATAAAAAATTTATTTTGTTTTGTTTTGTTTTTTGTTTTTTGTTTTTTTTTTGTCCTTTTTTGACCAGATATTTTAGATTTGTACTTATTTTTAATTAGGTTTAATTTTAGTTTCCTTCTAATGTCTATAACTTGACTTGGAATGTGCCTAATATTAATATTGATGCAAATATGAATGCTGAAAATGATAGTTGAAAAATAATAGTGGCTGTGTTAAAAAATAGCATTTTGCGTGAAATGTACCATTGGAGCAGAATTGTTAAAATGTAGCATTTTGGCACTGTAGCACCTGTCAAAATATAGATTTGGCGTGTGATAATAGGTTTTAGCATTGAAGATGCTCTTAGGGGGGCAAGAATAATTTTTTTTAATAATTTTTGGAATACAATAACTATATAATGAAAAAGGGCAAAAATAGCAAGGTAAATTAATAAAATAAAAAATTTTAAGGGGACAATTACTTGCATATAGGTCGTCGTAGTCACGCGTTCAAAACAAAGAAACAACTATTTCGAATACGAGGTGAGGGGTAATTAAGGTGGTTGAATATATTTTATTATAACATTTCCACTTTTACCCAAGAAAAAAAAAAAAAGTAAATGAAATTTGATTTTTATTTATTTATTTTTTTTCTTGGTTAGATGCGAAAAGACCATTTTTGGAACTCGATTTTAGAAATGATGGATAATTTGCAACTAATTTTCTTAAAAAGAGATTTTAATACAAATATATTATTGGGTAATTTGCACTTACACTCCTTGAGGTTTGAGTTAACACCACTCAACGGACGGTTAACGCACCAGTTTACATTTATACCCTCTAAAGTTTCAAAAGTCATATTTACTTCGAACCTGTTAATCGACAAAAATAACCTTAATCAATATTCTTAATCCCCTCCCACTCACCACCGCCACACCCATACACCCGCCACACCCACCGCCACAGTCACACGACCACAACCACCGTCACCTCCACACCCATACACAACCACTGCTATATAGCAGTAACGCAATCATTGACACCACAACCAATGCCACAAACCACCACTGCTACACCCACACACACCGCCACACCCACACGTGCACACACACCACCAAGATGAATCCATTCTCGCTCAAGGTTAGACTAGCCCAAATACTACGCGGTGGAGCAATTGTCAAAAGTCACCAACTCCAACCAGGCCAAGATCGTAGAATCCGCAGCCGCCACAACACCTTAACGTCGCTACACAGCACTACCGTCGCTCGACGCGTTGACGTTTCAAATCGGGGAACGAATCGACAATTCCTTTAGAATGGTGGCTCGTTATTGGGGATGTCGGCTAGCGCTAATCTCTGCCGCAGCTCCACTCCAAAACCCTATTCCAAGAAAACCTCTTCTTCGACGTCGTCGCCTCCAAGCTTTCCTCCAACCTTGCCATTGCCGAACCTCTTTTCGACAGTATTGCCTCCAAGCGCTATTCTCTACTAGAACATTTGTTGCCAAACCTTGAGGATAGAGGTGTATTGTGTAGGGTTAGAGAGAGATGTAAAATGAAGGGTATTTTAGTCCTTCAAATTTTAGTTTACAGGGTTATATTAGTAATTTACACTTTTCATGTATTTGTTGACCAAATTAAAGGTTAAAATAGTCATTTTCTCAAATAGAGGGGGTGTGTATGAACACGTTCGAAACTTCAAAGGGTGTCGATGTAAACTAGTGCATTTACCGACCTTTGAGTGGTGTTAACCCAACTCACAAGGGGGTGGAGTGCAAATTACCCTATATTATTTTATTACTTTTTCTTTTTTTGCCAAGCATCTTTCTTCACTTAAAAAAATAGCAAGTAATCGTGACACTCGCATCTGATGCTCTGAGTCAATATGATAAGAATATTTGTTTAAACGATTAAAGTATTTTTTTTTTTCCAATATAGAAAATTGCTTCTTTTCGCTACTTTATTTATTTATTTTTACTTAGCTCTCAAATCTTAAGTGCCATAGGTCACCTACTCCTTTTATATATAAAAATATATAGATAATATACTTTTATACAAACAATTAACTGAAGTTGCTAATTCATTCTATTCAACTTCAAATCAGATTAAATTTGCAACACATCTACTCAAAGTTTGAGGAAAAGAATAATAAATTCACTTTGACAAATAAATTCATCTGATGAATATTACAACTCATAATTAAAATTTAATTTAATTCCATTAAAAAAAAAATTAATTTAATTAAAGCATAGAGTTCAAGAATGATTCTGGAATGAAATTATTGCATATGTGCGATCAATCATTTAACTGCCCTTGAAAAGTAGCCAATGCAGTCCCAAATCAACCTTTTTTGAGCCATCACTATCACAAACACACACCACAATCTGCTCCAACGGCATAGATTAGATCAAGAGTACTATTTAGTTGGATTTTGGGCAGATGGTGATTGTACACCTACCCTGCATTAAAATATACCATAGCAAAGAACAGCATTTGGAAGCAATTATTGGAGTTCAGACTATGGTTTCGGCACTAACAACTTGAAATTCCTATCATATTCGGCATTGTGCTCACATAAACGCAGTCGAATGTTGTGATACAACATAGTCGAATGTCAACATAGTCGAATGTCCGTCGTATCACGACTCTTCTTTATTATGCCATATGGATCATAAATCCAGATGAGTTATCACATGATAAAATATGGTTTGCATAAACAACAGGAGTCAAAAAAAGAAAGAAAACACACACACACACACACACACACAAAGAAAAGAAAAAGGAACATGTAACCAAGTAGATAATATTATGAGAAAAAAAACCAGCACTCATGTGGGCCAATTCATAGATCACAGAGCAATTGGCATTAACTAGTAGAGTCATGTCCATGATTAAACACAATGGCCAGTCCAAGCTGGTTCTACCCCACTTGAGGACTTGCTTCGTATGTTCTTCTAAAGCCACATTCCATGTCTTATAACCATCTTCTATCAGCTATCAGCACAATCATTAATCACGTTGAAAAGGTATGACCATGTCACATAAGACCATCAACATCGTTTCAAGCTGCTGAGGTTGGCATCGGAGATGACATTTCACCTTCCTCAAGGAAATTAGCAGCAGCCACATTTAACACTTGTGGTCTAGCTCTTGTTACTGCTCCATGTAACTCGAGGGGTAACACCACACTTGTAGATTATGCAATTAGAACACTAAAACATGAGAGATTCATGAACTAAAACACAGATTGCATAATAACTTAACCCGGGAGGATATGCTAATAGGTTTAATACCATACCAAAATAAAAAATATAAAAAATACTACGTAACCTTCAAGAACCTATCTCCTCAAAAAAGGAAATGCACATCAATCACCTACCACTTGCCTCTTCCACGAATCTTCCACAATTAATTCATCAACTCCCCAATCTTCATAACTGGAAAAATCGCAGAACCAAGACATTATTTGTGTGTGTGTATATACATATACATATACATATAATTAAAAATAGAATAAGAAGATGTAGGGTTGGGGGAAAGGGAAAGAGAAACAATTCAACTTCAATTATGAAAAAAACTGAGAATCTTACCTCCCATCGGGCAGGTAGCGGCGAATGGTAAAAGGTATCTTTCGCTGTCGGAGCTCCTTCATTGCAATCTATAACAAATGACAAAATTATCAGAGAGAGCTAATGAAGCATGAAAAGCAAATCCATGAAATTACTAATTAGAGAAAATACCAAGTCACAAATTTTTTTTATAACCAAATAAATAAATAAATTTCTTTAAAGATGCAGGTCTGTCCCTATGGTAAGCTGTATAATGTTGGTTAAACCGATTAAAATGGTACTACGACAAAAAGAAAGAAAAAGAAAGAAAAGCATAATATTTTAGATGCATGCAACCATATTCACAAGACTTTTTAAGATCCAACTTATTTAGGAGACTTGGGTTAGGTTTGATGGTAGAATAATTGATGCAAAGCAACATTAGAAGAACTGGTGCAACTCAAAATTTTCAATATGGAGTTGGATGCATTTGGGTTCTTAGTCAAATGAAGTTAAGGGTTAAATCCATTCAGAAGGAAAAGAAAAAAAAAAACTAAGGGTAAATCAATTCTTAGTTTGTGTTGATTTTAGAGTATTACAATTTTTATTTAGTTTTCATATGCTTTCTTATCTTTTAGGAGTCAAAAAGATGGATAGTAATGATCCACACGTCATCTTGTGGGTAACGTTCTCA